CTGGCCTGTGTTTTAAGAAGTCAGAGTACAGGCTTGGGCTGGAAGTGGAGGAATCCAGCAAAGACCAGCAAGCGCTTGCTTAAGAAGGAAACTTGCCTTTAAGCCAAGCGAAGCCACAAGAAAACTGTGTTGGTAATACCCATGTGCACAGTCTACGGCCATACCACCCTGAACGCACCCAGTCTCATCTGATACCCATATGCACTGGAGAACAGCTGTAAGGGAGAAAAACAAACAAAAAAGACCCCTGGGGCGGTACATAAAAATGATCTGGAGAAAATAACAGACAAGAGGGGCACAAATGGTATTTTTATATCTTTATTGAAATGCAATATAAAGAAACCAAAAATTTCTGTTGTAAAGTAGTACAAAGAGATGTTTGCATAGTTACTAGGGTGCCAGTTGAGATCCCCACATCCTGTATCAGAATGCCTGGGTTCTAGTCCCAAATTCACTGTGGATTGCAGCTCCCTGCTAATGTAAATCCTGGGAGGCAGCAGGAAGTGCCTCTAGTTGTCGCTGCCAATACCTGGGAGACCCAGATTAGATTCCCAGCTCCTGGCATCCTCCTGGGCTAGCCCCACTATGGCAGGCATTTCAGTATATCAGTGAATTTGAAGAATGGATCTGCCTAACTCATGTTCAGATAAAGGAAGCCAAATATAAACAAACAAATTAACACACAAGTAGTTTCAAATTGTGCCACAGGAGTGATGTGAAGAGCTGGGGGGGCGGGCGGTGGATAAATGGTAACAGGGAGGTGTAGTGTTCTGTTCTTTTTAGAACTGTTTCAATTTAGATCTCTTTGAGAGAGACAGAAGTAGTGGGCTCCTGTCCTTTGATTCACTCCCCTGATGTCTCCAGCAACTGGGGCTGGGCCAGGCAGACACCAGGAACAAGGAACTTGGGTTAGGTCTCCCATGTCAGTGGCAGGGACTCAATTATATCACCCTGGCAGCTCAGGGTGCACACTATTAAGGAGCTGGAATGAGGAGCTGGAGCGAGGGCTTCAACCCATGTCCTGCAGCAGGGAATGTGTGTCTTAACTGACATCTTAACCTCTAGGCTAGTAAGCACGTGTCCCATTACCGTTAGATGAATGGTCTGAAGCCAGCTGGGGGAATATCAGGGAAAGGGGATGGAATGGCCCATGCAAGAAGACAGAAGGGACCTGCAGTCTGCTAAAGAACCAATAGGAAAGCAGGGCTATGAATGTGCAGCAGAGGAATAAAAGATCATGGAGAGCCTCAAGGTTGGATTATATTTTAAGATGATGAGAAACCAGTAGAGAATGTTAAGCTGAAGAATGAGGACTGGATTTTCAGAGAAATGCTTTTGGGAGATTTGCCAGCAGGCCTCCTAGCCAGGTGAAAAATACGAGCAAGCTTTATCTGATGAAGATTTCAAAGGTGACTCGGAGATGGGGTGTATTCATGGCCTCGGAGTCCTGCAATTACTACAGATCAGAAGGATAAAAGAATATCATGTGGCGGCATGGGAACCTCCCAAGTCCAGCTGTCCACAGGCCATGCCTGAGACAGTGGGAGCAGCATACCCAGCTGAGCCAGAGGCAAGCAGGGCCTGGCTTCCGAACAAGCAGCCATGGGAATATGGCACACTGGTAAGCCAAGAAAACAGGAGGCTGATGACTTTTTTAAAAAGATTTATTTTTATTATTTTTTTATTGGAAAGGTGGATATACAGAGAGGAGAGACAGAGAGGAAGATCTTCCGTCCGATGATTCACTCCCCAAGTGAGCGCAACAGCCGATGCTATGCCGATCCGAAGCCAGGAGCCTCTTCCGGGTCTCCCACGCGGGTGCAGGGTCCCAAAGCTTTGGGCTGTCCTCGACTGCTTTCCCGGGCCACAGGCAGGGAGCTGGAAGGGAAGCGGGGCTGCCGGGATTAGAACCGGCGCCCATATGGGATCCTGGGCGTGCAAGGTGAGGACCTTAACCACTGCGCCACTGTGCCGGGCCTGGCTGATGACTTTTGTTCTGTAAATATGTGTAGAACAAGAGAAGACATAGGCACAGAAGAAGGCCTCTGGATGGGGAAGGAAGTCTTAATCGATTTGCTCACTTAATCAGCTATCTGTTATTGGGTACACCTTTTATGTGCATTTCATCCCTTGCATCCCCTCCTCCCTACCTGGGCCTGTCACTCTCCCCAGATCCGAATCACGGCCTTGCACAGCCTTTCTCGGACCATTTCCCTCCCCTCTTTGGAGCCTCCCTGTAGTCTCTTATCCTACGCTGGTGAGGGCCTCATGGTATCACTCACTTGGAATGTTAGCTTACCAATGCATGGTGTTTGATCTATAACGGATCTCAGTCTTGCCTGCACATGAGGAATGGCCTGGGAAGTTTTAGAAAATCCTGATGGCTGAGTCCCAGCCCTGGAGATTCTGATTTAGTAGCTCCGAGATATGGCGTGGGTATCAGGGTATATTAAAACCCTCGCAGCAGACTGAATGTGCTGCTGAGCTTGAGAACCACTCATCTGCAAACTCATTCAATCCTCAAACTGGGACTGGGTTCTAATAATAGCTTTCTTTGTTCCTCAAGAGACTTGTAGACCAGCATTCAAAATAGTTCATGTGAACACATAATACTTCAAAGTGACTATTTCTACTTTGTATTAATTTGGTAGATGTGGAGGAAGGAAATAGTATTGTTCCTTCTTTGAAAATCAATTCCTAGGATATCGCAGGGCTCATGTGATAGCAGTGGGGAGAATAACCAGCAATGGGGAAACCTCAACAGGTGCAGCCACTGCGTTACGTGTGAGAGTACATCAAAAAGTTCGTGAAAAGTAGAACCAAAAAAATTGTATTTATTGGAGCAAATACAATTAAGACATTGCTTGGGACACCCACAGCTCATTGAAATATTGTTCCAAGTCTTGGATTCTGTGCTTGAATCCAGCTTTCTACTATTGCCTGAGCGCCAGCAGGTAATAGTTCAGATGTTCGGGTTCCTGGTTTCCACCTGTCTCAGCTGTACCTATTGCAGGTGTTTGAGGAGTGAACCACTGATAGAAGGTCTCTGTGTCTATCTCTCCTTTTCAAACAGAATAAAAATAATTTTTAAAATGTTTATTTTGGTGCAAGAAAATTTTTGAAATGTATCTGTAGGTTTTTTATTTCTCAGATTTTCCATGAACTTTTGGGGATGCACTCATAATTTCTAAGTTTTTCACATTCATTACCCAACTTTAATCCTCACCATAACCCCATGAGTGAGCACCAGAGGGTCTTGTGGTCCAGAGAACACATCCATGTGCCCCAATACCCCAGGCTACACAGAAAGTGGGACCAAATTGGAGCAGGGGTGCAACTGGGACCAAAACTTTACTCATGGCTCGCTGGAAAATGAGGCTATACCTGTTCTAACTTTGGGATTGTGTTCTTCCATTTATCCAGGACCTGTCAGGCATTTACTAAGTTATTTTTTCCCTGTGTACTCGATATACTCTTTTAGAAAAGCATCTACTTCTAGCTGCTAACCTCAAAGATTCTCCCTGTTTTACTTGGTCTTCTTGCTAGCTTTCTTGAGAAGGTAAACAGGCAGTGCTGTCCCCAGCTGCAGAGAGGGAAATTGGATGCCATTGATTAATTACTCCATTTTAGGAGTAGCTGTGTCCTCTGTGTGATCCTCATTTTCTAGATAAGAGAACCAAGAGAACACAGTGAAGCCAAGTGTCCCAGAGTGGACACAGTGTTTATTTGCTTATTTGTGGGGTTTTTTTTTTTTTTCAACTTGTTTTTGAGCAAACCTGCAAGACACAGGCTTCATTTTCTTTCTCACCTTAATTTTGTCTGGAATAAAGCACTGAAGCCTAAGCTGGATTTTCTTTGTTTATATTGAATGGGCACTTAAAAGGTATTATGAAACAAAGGCTTAATGCCAGCTTGAATATCATAGTGAGGTGAGGCAGGCACTAAATCATCTCCATCAGTATGTGTTAACAGATGAGAAATCCATACCCCACATCAGAGTACTTGTGTTTGATTTCTAGCTCTGGCTCCTGATGCCAGCTTCCTGCTAGTGCAAACGCCGGGGGGGGGGGGTGGGCAGCGGTGATGGGTCAAGTGTTTCTGTCCGTATTAACATGTTCCTACCACCTGGCTTGGCCCTGGCCTTTGGCGGGAGGGGAGGGAGTAAACCATCAAATGGGAATACCCATCTTTCTCTCAACTAAAAAATAAATTAAGAAAAATATTCCTCCTCCCATCTTCCCAACACGAGTTTGCTTTGGTGTATGCAACCCCAGATCATGAGAACTGGCTCTCTGTACAGGTTCGCTCTCCATCCACCCCCAGGTGCTGGTGTGTCTCACAGTTTTAGACTGTTACTGAGAACCCAGCCACTGTTGCTGGGCCACTGGGTTGCTGTGCAGACACTATGGGCTACATACACGCTTCTCCCTGCTCCCTAATGAAGAATGTGCTCATTTCCCAGAATATGAAGGCTTGGTATTTCCTGATTAGCTAAAATAGACACACATACACACACAGTTCTTTAAGGAAAATAACTGTATATAAAGAATGGGACAGACCCAACACGATGGCCTAGAGGCTAAATCCTCACCTTGCACATGCCTGGATCCCATATGGATGTTGGTTTGTGTCCTGGATGCTCTACTTCCCATCCAGCTCCCTACTTGTGACCTGGGAAAGCAGTGGAGGATGGCCCAAAGCATTGCAACCCTGCACTTGCATGGGAGACCTGGAATTGGCTCCTGGCTTCAGATCAGCTCAGCTCTGGCCGTTGTGGCTGCTTGGGGAGTGAACCAGAAGATGGAAGATCTTTCTCTCTTTCTCTCCTCTCTGTTCATCTGCCTTTCCAATAAAAATAAATAAATCTTTAAAAAAAAGTGAGACAGGCAGTGTGGTGAGAACATGACAGTACTAAGGAAAATGAAGTACTAACAGCCTTTGTTAGGGCAACAGGTCACTGAGTGCAAAGCTTTTTTAAAATGTGATTTATCTCCCTACAGGGCATACAAAACCATTGAGGATGATGACTTGAAATTTCCTCTTATTTATGGAGAAGGCAAGAAGGTAGGTATTGTATCCTGCTGCCACTCCACATAATCTCTGTGCTCCAGATTTTATAGCCTTGACAGCTCAGAAAATAGAACACAGCCATCCTCCTTTAGGCCTCCTGTTTGGAGAGTGAGGGGAGTTGGGGATATAGAAGCAGGGAGCACAAGTGACTCAAGTCAGTGTTGTGAAAGTGATGGCAGTGTTTACACTTGGCCACTTCCACCTCCTCTCTTTCCTGTGGTATCTGACAACAAGCTGGGAGGCAAGGTTAAAGCTGTCTGTGTTAGATGCACAAGGTAACTGTGAGTTAGCACAGCTCAGGCAGAGTCACTCTGCCAGCTAGGGGATGACACCAGAAGAATGTCACGGTTGTCTACATCCTTTTTTTAAAAAAATTTTTTGATGATGTTTACATAGTTGATTAGGGTGGAAAGGATTGAGGATTAGAGGAAGATGGGTGAGACCATTGTTTCCAACTCTTCCCCTTCTTCCTGTGTCTGGGGGAAGAGGAGAGACAAGGTGAGAAAGGCAAAGATAATAGGAGAAGCCACACCCAACCTCCCAACCACCTCAGTACTTGGGGACGGGGAACAGTCACCCAGCATCATCCCAGGATTCCCGGTGTGGAGCATGCTGTAAGGGTTCTGCTCAAGAGGTTTCAGTAGTTCTGAAATGCTGTAAATCTTGCCTGTCCAAGGATGAGGAAATCCTTCCAAAGTCCACTGCCTAACATAGTCCACCTTAGATTCTCCATTCACCCAGAATTTTGCCATCAACACTTGGCTGACATAGTTGACCAATTTGTCAACTCCTTCCTGTACTATGGTACCAGATATCCTCTGCAAGCTCTAATGGACTGCCATGTCCTTCATGTGCATCTGGGTATGCTGTCCACTGCTCTGTCTAAACCACTGAGGGGGGCCATCTCCGACACATGCACTCTACTGTCAGACTCTTCCCATGATTGAGGTACTGAGTCCAGCAATTCAGTTGTGGGTATCCTCAAAGAAACCTCATTTGAAGTGATCCCAAACCGGGCTCTCATGTGTGCTTGCCAGTATGGGATCCAGCTTTGTCCTTCACCCATGTCAGCCTATGCACACACTGGTAGGTAATTGCTGAGTCAATTCTGTCTCCAGCCCTGTCTCTTACATAAACCAGTGGATGCTACACACTCAGCCCTCACATACACTTGTGGGGAGTTGCAGCCTAGTTGGAGTGACCCCTAATAGCCCCCATTATGCCAGTCTCCAGCCCTGGTTCCTGTATTTGCCAGTATGCACAGCAGACTGGTCCAGTCTTTGCCACATCCCATTCAGCTTTCATACACGTCAATGGGCATTGAAGCCTAGCTCAATCCAATCAATCCTGCTGTCTAGCCCATACTCGTGCCAGTGGGTGCCACCACCTTTCTGGCCAAGCCTGCCCCCCAGTTCTGGTTCTCATGCTCACCAGAGAGTTGCAACTCATCAGAATGGTGCCCATAATTTCCCTGATGGGCCCACTCCCAGTCCCAGATCTTGTACTCTCCAGGTGGTTCTGCAGTCTAGCTTGACAGGGTTTGCCCCTAGTCCAAACACTTGCCAGTTGGTGCTGCGACAAAGCCCAACCAGCCTGCACTTACTCTGGGTATAGTCAGCCCAGCCTCGCTCTCCACCAACCCAGTTCACATGCAGACCAGCAGGTGTCATGGCCCTGCCCAGCCTGGTCTGCCCCCAATCCCAGCTCTCATGCTTACCAGTGACAGTAGTGTCTCAGGGAAGCTCTGCCCCAGCAGTACCCCTACTGGGCTCGCACCTCCCCACCCCTCCAGGTATCACGTGCTGTTGTGTGCAGTGACCCAGTCTGCATGGCCAGCCTTCCTTGGCATTTGCTAGCAGATGGTGTAGCCTAGCCTCGTCCAGTTTGCCCCCAACCAAGCCTGTTCCCAGCCACATAGCTTGCACATAATAGTGGTCGCTTTAACTCAGCTCAGTATAGTTCATCCCCCGTCTTAGCCTTTACCATCAGATGGTGCAGCTCGCACCCTACCCCAATTCTCACTGGCGATTATTGCAGTACAGCCCTGTCTAGTCTACTCTCATCCCTGGCTCGTGCAAACCGTTAGGTGTGATAATCTAGCCCGGCATGACCCACATCCTAACTTCCCAAGCCCAGTCTTCTGCTGAGGTGGCATGCTCGCCTGGAGCTCTGCTTACCCACCAGACATCCAAGATCATAAGTGGGTTCCCAGACCTGTCCTCTGGCGTATGTGCAGGTATGGGACCTTACCTCTCCACTCACCTGGGACACAAGTGCGTGTGTGAGACTCCAGGCACAGCCAGTGGGCATACCTTTCCATCCCCTGTCCCCACCCACCCTTGGAACAGAAACTGTGTGTGATCTCAAGCCTGCTTCAGCAGCCCCCAGTGTGAGTCCCTAGACCCAGAGTTCATGGAAGAGAATGAAGCCCCTAGCGACTCCAGCTCCACAAAGGTGAAAGCCACCTGCAGCTCCGGCTTTGCAAAGGCCTATCTACATTCTTACTCTTCTCAGACTCCATCGGGCAAGCTCAGCCTTTGCAAAGTCTGATTTTTCATTGGCCTCACTCTTCACTTCCCAGGAAAGAGTCTTTGAAGTTTCACAGTAATTGAGCCATTGGGGTTCCAACAGCTAGAGCCCCAGCTAAGGCCATCATCGGCTCCCAGGGTCCCAGCCACAAGCCAACATTGAACAACATATTGTTGAGCCCAAGGAAGGCTGTCGATCTTGGAGGTCCACCAACAGAGACCTGGAAGGGGTTGAAATCCGGGAACAGGCACTTGCTGAATCATCGCATTCTTCCTCTGACACGAATACATTTCAGCTTGGTGCTCAGAGTTCCAAGCAGAAGTGAAAAATGTGCTGACATGAAGAATTTCCAATGTAAATCCTTTTCAGCATTCAGGAGCTTATATCAAAAAGAAATGACTCTTGAGTAAACTGACAGATACCGTTGTACTAGAACGTGTGTGTGTGTGTGTGTGTGTGTGCGCGCGTGCGTGTGTGCGTGCATCCCCAGTGCCTTTCTAGTCTGGTACCTGACCCATATCAAATATACATCTAATAACAAATGCTGAAGTATTCAGTAAACTGTTCAGCTACACCAGCATGCTTCTTAGGGCAACAGGTAAAGGGACTGATGTTCTCCTAGCAGTTTACCAACAGTAAGTTTTAAAGGATTAGAAATTTTTCTAGTTAAGTGAAAAATTCAAAACATCGTTTCAGTTCATTAAGCCTGGTAGTCCTGTGATGAGCAGCCGGCTGATTCTCTCATCGCACCTGTTGGTCTGTTCAGAAGCTACTGCATGTGCACTCAGCCATACTGAAGATGCACACCATCCCTGTTTAACGACTCCATGCTTGCCTGGTCAAGTGTCACAAAACTTCCAGGCCATGATTTTCCTTAAATTTTCACAAATGCTATTAAGGATGCATGAGGGTGACAACTGGGTACTTTTTTTTTTTAAAGATTATTTGTTTTTATTGGGAAGTCAGATATTACAAAGAAAGAGAGAGGAGGATCTTCTGTTTGCTGACTCACACCCCAAGTGGCCACAACAGCAAGAGCCGAGCTGATCTGGAGCCAGAAGCCACCCACGGGTCCCAAGGCCTCAGGTCAGGCCATCCTAAACCATTCTCATAGGCCACAAGCATGGAGCTGGAAAGGAAGCAGGGCCACCAGTACAGCATGTGTAAGGCAAGGACTTCAGCCACTAAGCTAACCGCACCCAGACCCAACACCTGTGTACTTTATAAACAGCCCAGTCACTAGCAGGAATCCATTTCTTCAGACGGAAACAAGGCGTATGCTCTTTGCATCCAGAGAAGCTGCCACTAGGGTTGAAGACAAATGGGCCACTAGCAGTCAGAAATCTTCGTATTTCAAATCGGATGCTCCAGAGCTAGAAGGGAGCTCTGGCCAAGGGGCAGGGACTCTGTGCATCCTGCCTGACCAGTCTCATGGCTTGCATTTGTGCCCTTAGGCTCTTGCCATGATTCATTTGTGCCTCAGTGTGAACGCTACCTCCCTTGTGATGGGTGACCAGCCCCACAGCTTCACAGGCCACTGAGGAGACTGGGAGAAAGCTGAAGCTGACCTGTTAGATTGTAATGGTGCTTAGCTGTTATCTGTTTCATCCTGCTGCAAGGCAATTACTCTTATTGCACCAGCACGAGGGTGAAGGTTAAAGCTCAGCCCTTGGAACCATGATATGGCACTGGATATGTTATTGATGATTCCTACGAGTTAGACCACTGGGCTTCATTGCACCCACAATGACTTCCACTCTCTCCTTCACCCTCTGCCTCTCTCGTTCCTCTCTCCCCACCTTGCCTGTCTCAGCTTTTTCTGTAGTACCACATCTTCCGTAGAACCCTCTCAGCAGAATTTTTACTTCCTCTATTCTCCCATAGCCCATCATGTATGTTTGTCTTTCAGCATTTGCTCAGATTAGCTCATATTAGCTATGTACTCCCTATCTCTTTTGCTGAGTTATTTCAGGTATGAAGCTTTAGACGTGTGGGGCCTGCACACCTGGTAGGTGTTCAGTAGGAGCTAGAATCAATCAAGTATTTGGCACCTCAGGAGACATCAGCCTGGCTATATAGATAGTAGTATAATAGTGCTATTTCTTTAAGCTATTCAAAAAACAGATAAGAAAGCATGAAGTCTAAAGCCAGAGGTCTCTGCCTAGATAGAACACTCATTGGCATTTTTGTTCCTTTATACCCAAAAGTTGAGGATGTTAATAGGACAGCTGACAGAGTTGTTCATGAGTTCTTTTCTCCAATCATGAAAACAATAATAAAGAGGAGAGGGGCAGGCACTATAGAACACCAGGCCAAGCTACTGGTAGCAATGCCCACATATCATATTGGAGCACCAGTTCAAATCCAGGATGCTATTCCTCCAGTTTAGCTTCCCACTAATGTGCCTGAGAAAGCAATGGATAACAACTCAGGTACTTGGGTCTCTGCAACCCATGTGCAAAATCCAAATGGAATTCCTAATAGAAGATGTCTTTCCCTCTCAACCTCTCCCTCTTTCTCTCTCTCTGTACGTGTGTGTGAGAAACTGTCTTTTAAAAAGTTAAGTAATTTTAAAAGAGTAGCTGAGCTGAGCTGCTTCTGACTTTTTGCATCTTTTGCTAGTGCCCTTCCCAGCTAGAAATTTAGTTGTTCAGCAGATACGGTGGGTGTGTGCCACAAGGATGGCTGAAATGAACGAAGAGGGGCTCCATCTTGTTGGCTTTGGCACGAGCTGATCCGTGAAGCTTCATGCATCCTGTACACACTGGGGCGAGCATGTCAGGCACTCTTCCTTCCAGTCTCACTGAAGCCAGCTGAAGAGACAACAGCAGCCCACAGAGCTTAAGCCAGTTCACAGGAAAAGCACTCCTCCAATATGGAAGTGATTTTGGTCACCCCCTTCCTTGGAAACAGTTACTCACATGAATAACTAGCAAGAGACTTACATGGGTGGAGGAATCGGAAAATCCTCCCACTGCTATTAGGCGCCAGCTATGGGATGCTTCCCCTGCTGTGTGTGTGTGTTTCTAACGACCTCTTGCTTACTCTCCTAGGCCCGGGTAATGGCAACTATCGGAGTGACCAGGGGACTCGGGGACCATGACCTGAAGGTTCATGACTCCAATATCTACATAAAACCATTCCTGTCTTCAGCTCCAGAGGTACTACATGGGATTTTGTTTGTTATAACAATGAAATATTTTCTGTTAATCTTTCCCACATCCAGACAGCCCAATTTGGTTACATGCCCTTCTGCTTGCTCTCATTTCTGCTGCTTTTTGTGCATTATCATGCCTTCACCATCTCCCACATAGCTACATAACCTTCTAGCAGTATTCCCTACCTCTCCCACCCCCATCCATCCATCCGTCCGTTCGTCCATGTGTTATTGGGCGACTCCTCAAGCCAGACTTCTTCCATTGACTTTCAAAGTTTGCCATAGTGGGGTCTAACTTTGTAATCTGATCTTGGTTCACTTGCGCCAAGGGAATGAACCTGCTGTTTGCTGTACTTAACCTACAATTTCTTATATTTACTCAACTACTCCTTCTGCCAGGGATGTCCTCTCTCCCACTCTCTCTCCCTTTCCCCAATGTCCAAATGATTCTCCTCTAGTGTAGCTCAGCTTTCTCCTTCCCGCAGCCAGAAGTTGTATCTGTCTGCTGCGGAGATATGTGAGAGAACTTTCTCTTCCAGCATTTTCACTATCAGCCTTCGGCCAGTCTCATGCACACCTTATCCTCTTGCTGGGTCTTAGTTACCAGGGAGACTGCAGTCCATTGATATTTGGAGAAGTGAATTGAAAAACACATTGTTTGTGTTTCCCATCAAGTTCTATGTTTCCTTTCTTTTTTTTGAAAGGCAGATATACAGAGAGGGGGTGAGACCGGAAGTTCTTCTAATGATTTGCTCCCTAAGTGGCTGCAATGGCCGGTGCTGTGCCGATCCAAAGCCAGGAGCCAGGAACTTCCTCCAGGTCTCCCATGTGGGTGCAGGGTCCCAAGGCTTTGGGCCATCCTCCACTGCTTTCCCAGGCCACAAGCAGGGAGCTGGATGGGAAGTGGAGCTGCCAGGATTAGAACTGATGCCCATATGGGATCCTGGCACGCTGGGGCCTTTTATGTTCCCTTTTTGTGTAAATCATTTAGAAGACACTTCACTTTTGCTGCTGTAATGGAATACCACAGCCTGGCTCGTTTATCTGGAAGAGAGGTTTATTTAGCTGCTTGTTGCAGAGACTCAGGAAGGCTAGAGTATGGTACTGGCAAGTACTCAGTGTCCAGTGAGAGCCTGTGAGTGCCTAAAAACATATCAGAGGACACTGTATGAAGCCACTGAGCCATCTTGGCACACTCCCCTCCACCCGTGACCTTATCTTGACCACCTCCTACTGGCCTCAGGTACTTCTAGGTACTTTTCACTGTTGACTTTGGAGATTCTAACACATGAACTTGGAGGATACATTCAGACCACAGCAGCTTCCAAACCTAGAATTTCTACAGAGATTTGCTCACAGAAAAAGAAGGCTGAGATTTGATGGCTCTCACTGTTGGTACAGCACCTCAAATGCATCAGGGCTGGCATCTCTGTCTCTCTCTTGACCTTTCCTTCATGGCTGCAAGGTAGTGGCAGCAACTCCAACAATAATATTTTCATGCCATACAAGAAGGAGGGATAGCTTCTATCTGAACAGATGCATGCTTGCATTTCATTGACCAAAACTGTGTCACGTGACCGTCTTCACTCTCTGCAAGCAACTATGGGAGAAAAAGCTTCAACTTGTCTAATTTCTGTAGTACAGGGTACCAGGTTGCCATGCTATGTAATGAACTATTTAGGCAATGTCATGCATGGGAAATGCCCAGGACAGTTAGACATAACTCCATGCATGTTCTTCCTCAGAGTAGATACACATGAAGGTGCTTTTGATTGGAAAACATAGTGTCTTGGGCCTGGTGGTGTGGCCTAGTGGCTAAAGTCCTCACATTGAACGTGCTGGAATCCCATATGGGTGCCGCTTCTAATCCTGGCAGCTCCACTTCCCATCCAGCTCCCTGCTTGTGGCCTGGGAAAGCAGTCGAGGACAGCCCAAAGCCTTGGGACCCCGCACCCATGTGGGATACCTGGAAGAGGTTCCTGGTTCCCGGCTTCGGATCAGACTCATCAGATGGAAGATCTTCCTCTCTGTCTCTCCTCCTCTCTGTATATCTGACTTTGTAATAGAAATAAATAATAATAAAAAAAGAGTGTCTCAAGTTAACTCCACAAAAGGAGGTGTTTATAGTGTGTTGGAATACATGTTTCTGATGTCCACAAAATAATCCATGAGCAGTGAGGGTTAATAGGAGAGTAGCTCTGTCCTGGAGAGCCTCCCCAGGAATCTGTCAGCCCCAGTGAAAGAATTCTGTCTTTCATTAATGTGACAGCCACTTGCCACATGTCTGTGCCGCCAAATGACCCACTTTCCCACCCCCAGTTCCACAACATTTAAGAGGAATCTGATTAGTAAAGATTAGGCCACAAGTGACTTATGTCTCTGCCTTTTGATTGTGTCTTCGGTCATATGTCCACTCCAGCACCTTCTGTGAGCATGAGCTGTGTCCAAAAATATATCTAGACAAAGGGGACTAAAAGGCCACTGAGAGAGAAATTGCTGGGAACTATTATACATGGAAGAAACATATTTCTTGACCTCATCCAGGGTTTCAAATGAAGTGAGCTTGCTGGAAATAGTAAGTGCTCTCCCAGAGTGTACAAATATTCTCCCTGTGAGCCCTCTTAGCAATTCTGTGTGATGAGAGCCATTACTATAGAAGATGTCCAAGGCGCCTTGGAAGCTGGCAGGCTATGGGGCCTGCTGTTCCATCCAGCCTCAGGATCCATGAATTCTTGCTGAAATGACATCTTGCTGGAGAAAAAGCAATAGATAATGGGCCTTGAAGCCCCTTTGTTTTAATCATGCTGAAAACTCATACATGTCTTCACTTGTTGCCCCTCGGCGGGAGGCATCCATCAGACATGTGAGATGCTGCCTTCGTCTTTCCACCAGCATTCCTGAGGAAACGCACATGAACCATTTTGCTTCTTGAAGCAGAGTGGAAATCTTACTCCTCGCCCTCTGCTATCCGTGCACGTGTGTACTTTTCATATAAGGAAGCGGCTCAGCCTGGTTTGCAGGGGCATGCTCTCTGCAGTTAGATGGCAGGGTCTCTGCTCCCTCTGCTGCTGGGGAGCCCACAAGGACACTGCAGGAGAACGGAGTCAGAGTCCTTGTGAACCTGCTCGGAAGCCTCGGGGCACTTTAGTGGGCTGATGCTGGTTTGCAAGGGCATGGGCTGCTGACTTCGTTAGTGTTAGTGAGGGTTGGGGATAGAAGGAAACTAAAACTCTGTAAAGTAGTGAATGCTTTTAGAAAAATTGTAGGATTAGGTAAGCTGTGGAAGCTTTTATAATTATGACAACTAATATGGATGGCTAATAATAACAGCCAGCATGAACAGCTTACAGACCAAACAGCACAATTTCTTTTCTTTTTAGTTGAAAAAATGGTGATAATATATCATAGTTACAGTTACAATTAATCAAGATCTCTAAAGTTTATTCCTTCTCACTGAACTTTGTACCCTTTGAGCAGTATTTCTCATCCTATGTTCTCACATTTTGATAGGTAGTATTTCATTTAGTCCTCAAAATAACTCTTTGAGGTAAGTGTAATTATTATACCCATTTTACAGATTGGGAAACTGGGTCGCAAGAAATATAACAGTAATTCTCCCAAAGCCATGCAGTTATAAGGTAACAAGCTGGTACTTGAACCCAGCTCTGTCAAGGAGAGGTAGAGTTCACAGGACTGCCCTTGGTCAGGATCCTAAGGACCCACGAAGGACTTTCAAGGGGCTCTGCAGAAGGCTCCTTTGTCTCAGAGCCCAGGGCAGCAGTGACAGCAGAGGCCGGAGCTTCTGTGCGAAAGGTCGGGCCTCAGATTGAGGTGGTAGCAGAGAGCAGAGAGTTGGGAAAGTAACTGGGAAAGACAGCGTGTGCACGTGGAAGCCGGAGAGAATTGTGCAAACCAGGACTGTGTGCTGCACATGTAGCTTAACGGGCATGGCGTGTGCATCCTGAGCTCTTCTTGCCTGGGATTAAAATTGTTGTACATTTTAAGTGCTTTCAGATGGAGAGCCCTCAGGCAGAACCAGGAAGAGGGAGGGGAGGCGCAGCTTGCACCAGCTCCTACAGGAAAGAGCAGAAGAGAGGATAGGTTTAGGCCCCCACTCCGACTTCCATCCCCCGTGCTTTGGCAGAAACGCGTTTCCCCTGGGTGGTGGTGATAAACTCATACCAAGAAAAACACCTCGGGAGCTTGCCAGGTCAGGGTACTCATCCCAGGTAGTGAAGAATGAGGGACTCTGCTCCTGTTCTCGTTGCCTCACCCACAGGCTACCTACCCTTCCCCACTGTGACTCGCCGAGAACACTCCCCACTTGGTTTTGTCTCTGCTTCATTTTCGGTCAATACCTTTCCAACCCTACTCAGTCTGGTGGTTTCATCAGTTGCGGGGTGGGATGTGGTTTAGTTCCAAGGACAGGGGGCTCTTCCAGGGTCTTCTTGGAAATCAGCATTGTTCCCATTCATCATCGGAACTCCTCATTCAATCTGATGCATTCAATCTAAAGAAATCAAAAACATGTGGATCAAATTTATGTAAAAAATGTGCAGGGGTTTAAAAATTAGAGAAGGTTTTCTGGCCAAACACATTTTTGGTTTTGCTGAACGCAAAGGCGCTGGAAAAATCTCGACTTTGCCAAACCCAGGGAGCAGCCGCCAGGTCTGCTGAGCCTCCTTCCAGCCTTCCGGGGCTGCAGGCAGGGATGTTTCTGGCCGGGCCCAGCATTCCACAAGAGGCCCCATCCATCCCCCATTCAGGCCTCGTGACTGCTGCGGGCCCCAGCACCTTGTTTGCCGTGAGCACCTGCAGAGGAGGTTACAACCTCTCCCTCACCATGAGGACAGTGTCCCCAGCCAGGTTCCTTGTCGCTTTGCTTAAGGAAACTCGCCACTGAGTGTTCTCATACCATCCTCCAAGAACTCAAGTGGTCCGATACGGGGTTTGTTAACTCAGCGGGCAGGAGCCCAGACCCTCCTCGAATTTCCCCTCCCCCAG